TGCGAGCAGCAGCTGGCCCTGCGCACGGTGGGTGACCCCCAAAAACCCCCGGGGGGTGCCTGGGGGTCGTGGGAGGACTGTGAGGGGTCCCAGGGGGGGTTGTTCTCCTTGCTGCCTGCAGGGGATGGCCCGGGGTGAATCCCATGGTGATGGAGGTTGTGATGGGGGCTGCTTGTGCCCATGGGCACCCCAAATCCTGGGCTGTCCTGGGGGGGTCACTGAGGGGTTGTTCTTCTCTCTACCCACGGGGGAGATGACCTGGGATGAATTCCCTGTGGTGGAGACTGTGCCAGGCGAGGAGGGGGCTGCTTTCACCCTGGTGCCCCTCAAATTTTTGGGGGTCCTGGTTGAGGGGTACCTGCACGCCTTGAGAATCCTGGGGGGATTTTTCTTCTCCCCCTGCTCCAGATCTGCCTGGGGGAGTCGGCCCGGGATGAATTCCACGTGGTGGAGGTGGTGGCAGAGGAGGGGGACGCCCGGCCCCCGGTGCCCCTCGCCACGCTGAAGCCGTCGGTGCTGCCCATGGTGAGTGCCCCGGGGAGGGGGCTGCTGCTGGCCCCGGGGAGGGGCTGCTGGCCCGGGGGGCTTCCAGGGGAGCTGCCACCCCCCTGTTTTGCAGGCCACGCTGGCCGGAGTGGAGCTGACCCCCCCTGTCACCTTCCGCCTGAGAGCCGGCTCGGGGCCCGTCTACATCAGCGGGCAGCACATCTCCAGTGAGTGTGGGGGTCCCCCCCTGCCCTGGGGTCTCCCCCTGCCCTGGGACCCCCCTCCCCGGGTGTGGGGGCTCAGCCAGGCTCTCCCGCAGTGATCACCTCAGATGAGGAGGAAGAAGAAGAGGAGGAGGAGGAGGAGGAAGAAGAGGAGTCCCCTCAGAAGCCCCCCAAGGGCCAAACCGCCCGGAAAGGCGGCGCTGCCAAGGTCAGCCCCCCCTCGGGTGGGGGGTAAAGGGGTGCAGAGGGGTCCCTGTGCCATGGGGAAGGGGGGGCAGGGACCCCAAGCCCCTCTCTGTTGAGGGGACGAGCCGTGACCTTCATCCCTCGGGGAGGAAGAATCCCAGGCTCTGCAGCGAGTCCTCATCCTGCTTCTCCCTCTCTCTCTCCCCCACAGAAGAGAAAGCTGGAGAAGGAGGATGAGCCGTGAGTATGATGGAGGGGGAAAAGCCTGGAGCAGGGGCTGCCCACCCTGCTGGGACCCCGATCCCAGCCCTCCCCTTCTCTCCCAAGCAGGAACAACACCGTCCCCGAGGATCCCCTTCCCGGCAAGGTAGGGGCTGGTTGGGGTGTCCCTTTGCATCCCCCCCTCACCCCGGGGGTCAACACGAGGACCTGGGGAAGGGGATGTGTGATGGGAACCCAAAAAAGGGGGGGGCAAGGCAGGGCTGGGGGCTCCCTGGGCCGGGGGTGGTCCCTGCTCAGCCCTGTCCCGATCCCTGCAGGGCCGCGGAGCCGGGAGGGGCAGGAAAGCAGCGCCGAAGAAATGATGGGATGTGTGGCAGGTACGGAAAGGGGCGTGGGGGATGATGTC